TTAGGATTAGGAAGTGATCTAGCACACAGGCTGAACTGCAGACCAGTGCTTACACTGAGACCCAAGAATTGCTACTTGACTGCCTTTTATAATGACTTTGCATTAACTGCTTCCACTGCTTCTTGAAGGCCTTCTTAAAGCTGTTTTTCTGCAGTGAAACAGTTTTCTTTCATTCTCATTTTCTCAGCTTTGATCCATAAATATTCAGAATAATAAACCTGAAGTTTTATTTGGTGGTGTGAATACTTCAAACTTACAGAATATTATGCCTTTTTTTTTTTTCTTCAAATGACCAAACATCTCAGGTTTATAACTATTCCTGCTTTAATTCCTCAGAAGTCCCTTCCATGTAAGGCCCTAGATAAGCACAGTGATCTATGATCTAATTGCTGCTCTGAACATCAGGGCTGCCAAGACCATGTCCATCCTAGCACCTCACTCCCTTCGACTGTAGAGCACACTGTATTGATGATAACATGGCAAGAGCTATTACAACCTTTCCTTGGTCATCTAGAGAACATGTGCTAAACCTACTTTCCCCTGGTTCTCTCTAATTCTAAATCTAATCTAATAATGACATCTTAAATATCTACATTAATTGTCATTTATTTGTAATTCCTCACAAAGGGCAAGCCTAAACACTCACAAGCATACATACACCCTTCCCTACACAGGGACACAGCTGGAAAAGTGCGGTAGTCTTCAGGAGCATGACAGGGCTTTTAATGACCACACCTACCCCCTATTCACAGACCCATCTGCACTAGAATTTGATCAGTCATTCCAAACAGCTGCCTTTTCTTTCTACTTACCTTTCCAAAGAGCCATTTCTTACTCCTCCCAAACGGAAAACCCCTCCTCCCTTCCAAAATTATAATGTCTGTGATGGACAATATTTTTTCTTAGTTTCTCTAAGATGCTTTGGTTTCTGTGCTCTTTAGCAATCAAAGCGGGCAAGGATTTAAAAATTTGGGAAGGAATCTTCCTGCAGTTTCTTTCTCTAATGGACTGGGGTTTGGTACTGGCTTTTATGCTTGTTTTTCAGTTTGTCTTAGAGATCTTTGTGAGATTCACAAACCTATATTATTGATCTCAGAGAAGCCACCTGTATTTACTAGTGGATGAGTTAAAATATAGTCCTACTATCATCTGGAAAAATGCTATAAAATAGATAATACCTGAGATATCTGGACTATGTACACATGGTTTAATAAAGCATGGAGTCAGCCCAAATCTGCTGCAAGCAACTCTCGTAGCTCTCTCCAGGACACACTGTTCCACATGTATACCTGTACACGCAGAGCAAGAAAGATCCATGCACACATACATGTACATTTTTCAGCCTACGCTGCCTCTAGGTTGGTAAGTCAACAATAAAAACCATCATGTCACCATTTAGGACAGGAAGTGAAAACTATATTTAGCTGAAAATGTAGTAGAAAGGAGGTGAGCAGAATATTGCTTACATTTGTGCCCCCATTCCTGTGAACACTGGTATGAGACTGTCTGCAATAATGATGAGTTCACTACCCAGCAATACTCCTGGTGTGGTCTTCTGTCTAGCAAAAAAATGGGTAGTGTCTGGCTTACCACCATGATCACTGCAAAACATGCTCTGCTAAGTTTGGCAAGTATTCACAGAAAAGCACTGGAAAGATCACATGACAAGTCACTGCGGTTATAAACAGGTTTTTCTGTTAAATAAATTCCAGGAGATTTGACACCTTCTCTCTGGATGCACCAAACTCAGGTACCTTTGAAGAACACCTCATTTGTATCTTTATAGTAGTATCCCAATCTTAGTGCAAAGCATCTTGAGCACAGACATTTCCTTCCTCAGAAGCACCATCCCCCAGAACTGGAAAGCGCACCCCTTATCTGAGCTTGACAGCAGAGATTTGATGGCACTGATTTGTTTCCAGTTGCCTGAAATGTCCCCTCCCTACTTAAACACTGCAACCCACATGTTCTTGGTTGAAGTTTTTTTCTTTGAGCAATACTTTACACTGGGTCCAGGATCTCCTGAGGCCAACAGGACTTGTTCCACTGGTTCAAATAAGCATAGATTCAGTCTTTTACAAAGAATGGCTCTTGAGGAGCTTTTAAAAATAGTTTTCTTGTTTAAAACCTGTAAATGTTTGTTATTTACCCCACTGCAGAGACAGATATGCAGCCTGGGTAGAAGAGCCATTTAATAAGAAAGCTTTTGTGGCCAACATGTAAAAGCTCCCATTCCAGCAGAAGTCATGGGTTTGATAGGGTGCTTACCAAAGTGGTTTTCTGGTCTGCTTTACATGGAAGGTCAGGCCAGACAATCAAATCAGTCCCCTTTGAAGCTGATATCTGTGAACTTACGAGAGTTGTTCAGTTTCCAGATTCCTCCAGCACTTGACCTCTTTTCATCTTTTCATTCATCACATGAAATCTGTCAACTGATGGTGGGTTTTGTGCCAAAAAGACATGTCATCAAGAAGATGCACAATCATTACTTCATTAGGCAGTCTGGTGCCCCAGCAGTGAGAACCACTGTAACCCTCCCAGCTACCTGAACCAGCCATTATCTCCAAGGACTCCTTAATATTTGCATATTATGTCTCTGTCTCAGATCCTGTCTGCTCTCCTCATCATCTCTTCTATACATTTGCCAGATGTGGGAATGAAGACATACATCTTCTCATGAAACGGTGGTCACCATGCTCAATCAGCTCACATATCTCCAGATGTTTTGTGATCTCACCACTTACTAATGTTCCTAGGAGTTAGCCTGGCTGTAGGTCAGAATTACTGGTGAAATTTCCCTGTGTCTCTCCCAACCCATTTTGCAAGAATTCTATTAGATTTATTTCTACGTGGCCTCTAACTACACTTCTCCCCACACTCCTTCTCTGAGCAGTTACTATTTCTGGAGGCAGATTTCTCCCCAGTGTCTGTCTGTCATTACAGAGGTGTAAGTCAGCAAAATCTCCTCATGGATTTCCTACATGCAGAGTAACCTTTTCAGTCATTACTAGGAATGGATACACGGATACTTTCCAAGCTGATAGGGTACTTTTACGCTAATACACATTGTTACAGTTTCTGTGCATGTGAGTAAGCTTTCCTATTTAATTAATAACCTGAAGACTCTGGTGAGTGGAAATGCAACCTCAGCAATTTCTCATGCAATTTTTTGTGCACTTTTTTAAAAATCAGGTCCAAATTCTCCATTGGCAGCTTGCCTTGTGTTACCATCCCTTCTGGAAGCCACTGATTTTATGTAAACATACTTTGTGAAATTGGCACCTCATTCAACGTGAACATAACAGGAAATTAGCTAAACATTATTTAGACACATTTCTCATTCTGTAATGTGCTGGAGGCCACAAGGTATGCATGCTGAAGAGTAATTTTGAGGATCTTCAGCAATACCGTGGCATGTAAACAGAGTTAAAAGGGATTTTCTAAATACCTACGTTCCTTGATGTGAGTGGGAGATGGATTGAAAATAAAGACAAACAGTTATTTAAATAAAAAGCTATTCTGTTAAATTGCTCAGATACTCATATTAAGAATGCATGCATCATGCCCATTCATGCTTCAGCATTCCTGCAACCACTTGATCTACACCCCAAATTTAGGGTCTATGGCTTGTTTACTTTCTCCTGCAACCCTAAACTGAAAGCATACCTTTGCAAGCATGTGGCTCCTTTCAGAGAAGCTGAGAAAGAGGTAAACTCTATAAATCTTACAGTCGCTCAGTACTTGGCAGGTTAACTATCACACATATAGGTAATAGCTGCAAAGTGCAAATTCTTTGGATTACCATCTAAGTTCCTCTTGCCAGTCTACAGGGATTGGATTTTTTCAGTTTTTCCCTTACGTCTGTGTGATCTTTGTCCTTCAGTGTTTAACATTAAGTGGAACTGAGGAATTGTACCTTGGAACAGGAGTCTCATTGTTCCACTTATGTAAACAACTGAACAAGGCAAATGCAGTGACAGTTTTAACACAGGGTTCTCCCTCCAACCCACACACTCTATGTGTCTACCTGGGAACAGTGCATGGTGAAATTACAGCACACTAGCCTGTCAGCAGCAATTTTATCCCCTTTTTGACTGTGTGTGCTCTAAGTCAAAGGGGACTGACTTGCAGCACACTTAGGGACTGAAAATGCAAGGATCCCGTATCTAGCCAACTTCCATACAGCTTCTTCCACTGCACCCATCACAGACACATCTGGTAGCTTTTATTTGTGGGAAACAGGCTAAGTGTGTCAGGGAGATAAAAACACTCTTAATATCTGGTATTATGTTTTTCCAATGGGGTGACAGAGCCACTGTGTAACTTTCCTAATTGTTTTCAACAGGAAAAAGAAACGCCCAGCTTCAGTATGGGCTTTATGGTACAATTGAGCCTCAGGCAGATTCCAGCCTGATCCTGGAATCCCAGCTGCTGATTGTCCCCCCAGTAAAAACCCATTTTCTCTCCCACTATGTTTTCTTGGGGCTCAGTCCTGCAAGGTGCAGTGTCTGCTGGCCAGGAGCAAAGAAAACCTGAAGTCTCTTCTTAACAGAAAGCCCACCTGAAGTCTCTTGGGATTCTGTGGACAGGGTTTGTGTGTACTTTAGCATGCTGGAGATGGAGTGACTATCAGCTCATAGGGATGCACCCTTATCCACTTCTCAGCATTTCAGTAGAAACAAAGCAAGTCTCCCAGACAAGATTTGTCACGTTTCCAAAAGCAAAGAACTCCCTTATCGTGTCCTGTGCCCTAAACTGCAATTGGAATTCATCCTCTTCCCTAAATAGCTAATATTCAAGCTTTGCAGTTTGTTTTCAGCTGGAATATGTTAGCTAAAGGAAATACTGCAAATTACAGTACAGTCATGCCACACTATTGTGACTGTGTAGCTGGTAACTCGGCAGCCAGCTCACAAATGCAGCTGAGAACTCTTTATGAAATAGGAAAAGGAAAGCGACAGTTATTAAAAATGAGCAGTCACTAAAGATTCGGGACTTACCCTGAGTCATCCCTGGCTCCTTTGTCTCTTGCTGATGTTTTCATCATCACAGCAAACTTTAAGACACTTTCTCTTTCACAGTGGCTTTGGAGTTCCTTGGTAAAGAAAGTAATTCCTTTCCATCGCTGAGCTGCACCTCCACATCCTTAGTTTTTGTACTGAAGATGATATTTCAAGGAGCGGCAGGGGGAGGATGTTTAAAACCAGCTTCAGGCTCAGTAGTATCAGAGGGCAGGGGACTAACAAACACACAAATGAAAGCAAACTACCAAGAAGATCTCATTTTAGCCTCTCTTATTTCTACTTCCTGTATTTATATGAACGGGGGATTTCAGGAAGAGGCAGTCTTTGGTGGTCAGGGGTGTGTGTGTGTGTGTGTGTGTGTGTGTATTTTATAAAGCCATATTTAGTAGTGAAAGCAGGTTAACCTTATTAGACAGAAGGGCCTGAGATTGCTTATTTGTTTCTCTAACTTAAGGAAGTTTTGGGGAAATTGTTTTACAGACTACAGGTATATAAGGAGGCAACAGTGCATGGTGAACTTTGTAAAGGATTTTATAAGGCAGCAAAGCAGTAAGTCTCCGTCTGCAAATTCCTAAAGCATGTGTATTTCTATTGCTTGAGTAACTGGAACCAGATGGAGCTTGGAAACCTTTATATTTACACAGGACCTGAGAAAATGAAATGTCTTAACACTGGCAGAGGAGTGCTTTGCAAAATATTCCCAGTTAAAGCAAAAGTGAATGATAAGGCTGTAAGACCTCTAGTAAATGAACAGCTATCCATGCTGTGACGCTCCAGTCAGCCTCAGATCACATTTGACCTGCAGTTACTTAAGTGGTCAAGTAGTGCTCACTGTACTGGAAACCCAACTGAATACAGACCATCTGTGGAGGCTGAGGACTGACAGCTCCACTATGAGGCAGGGCTGGTGGCACTTCTATTTGGCAACCCTATCATTCCAGAAATATTTGACGTTAGCAGAATACATAATGGAAAAAATGAGGCAGAAGTATGAAGCAGAGGCAGAGGAAAGCAATTGCATGGTACAGAGAGGGAGACAAAGGTAACTTTTTGCCCCTTTTATCTTCAGAAGGAATTTACCAGGTTTCTAAGAGTACAGTCTGTGCCATACAGTCCACAGCAGAAATGCAAATGCCAGGCAGCTGCCAGTGTACTGACACCAGGGAAACAAGATCTCCATATAGAACATGGAACCAGTTCTGCTGGCACTAACCTACAGAGATTCAGGGGAACCTTTATGATCGCCAGATCACACCTCCTGTGCAACACAGGACAAGCTTTTCTCTGGGATTTTTGATCAAGCCTGTAACTTCTTTGACATTAGAAAAGTTATTTTCTAGAGTCTGGAAGGATTTCTCTTAGAAAGTCAAAAAGCCTGACTGAAAGGCTGCATGATGGGAAATTTACCATCCTTCTATGTAAGGTGTCTTAGTAGTTAACTGTTGATATTTAGATTCACATCTGGTACTTTGCCTTGCCTTGTCTAGTTTTAAACTTCCACCTACTGTATCTCAAAATGCTCTTTTCTACTAAACTAAGGAGCTCCTTGCTCCAACTCATATAGTTATTTTCAGCCAATGACAAACTCATTCAGTGAGCCCTCTTAAAAAAAAAATGGTTGTCTAAGAGTTACTCAGCCCTCACTGCAGGCTTGTCAGATCTTAGTTCTCAATCCTTCTATTGGTTCTGGGCACAGAGGTCCAAGAAAAAAATCTGCTCTAGATTTGTTCACCAGTTCGGCACCTTTGAAATGTACCTTGGGTACTGGCATAAGAGCCATCTCCTAGATGCATCGCACAAATTCAACTCTACCCCAGGTTTCCGTTTCCCTCCACTGCAATTCAGCAGAGACCAGGCCAACTCAGAATTTACCACTGCTTTGCTGGCAAATAAATTTGCTGAGCCGAAAAACTAAAGATGTGCTGCTCTGCATGGACCTGCCCATATGGGGGAATCTGTGTGCAGTGAGCATTAGGCATTTCCAAAGATGTTGTTAGGGAAGAAGACACAAAAGGACTAAGAAATAAAAATACCCAGCAAAAAAATGAGGAACACAAAAACTCAGTGCTGCTATGTCAGTTTCACCTGATTTGAGAGAAGCTGTGTATTTTTTTGTGAAATCTTTCACACTATTTGTAATCTAAAGAATGTACTTTCAAAAATCTGAAGTTTTGAAATTAGTTTCTTTAAAGATACGGACCAAACGTAATGAAAATACCCTCATTTATATTTAGTTTTTCTGTAGCACAGTTAAGTATTTTGTATACTATTTAAAATGAAGTCAACATAATAAATTTTCCCCAAGCTTTGCTGGGTATTTTTTTAAAGCAAGAGATTTGGCAGATTTGGAATGTGACACTGTGTTCTAGTAACAAGCTTTGTAAGTAAACAATTATACAAAACCTAAATGTCAAATTAATATCCAGTCACTGCAAAATGCCACTTCTTGATAGATCTTGTCTTTCCTAGGACTTACCTTTTCCATATTAAGCTACACCATGCTGCAGTCCCTATTTGTGTTTTTATGCAGCTGAGTTGGAAAGATTTAAAATGGCTTACGGAGGCAGCACATAAGTACAATGAGCACTTTGGCTATAATAGTGCTTTCAGCATATGCACAGATTATATGGCAGTTCTGCTTTCCATACAGTAGGAAGCAGCTGCATCAATAATACGGCATATGATAAGGGCCTGTAGGAATTGTCATGCCTATTGTGTCCCTAATCTGTAGATTATGTGCCTTTTATAGAGCCTATTACATAACTGATCATGATGGGTCATCATGTCAAACCTATGGGGATTAAAAGGGGAACTTCCCACATTTTAAAAGTTACTTCTGTGTGTAAGAAGGAATCTTCTCCCTTTCTCAGCTTAGAAAAATTTAGTCTAGCATACACCAAAGAATGAGCCCTTATGCAAAAGTCAAAGAATGCAGGATATTCCTTTTCTCCGCTTCACTAGGACTCTGTAGATGCACAAAAGCCACAGTGCCTAATGACAGGTTTATACAGCAACAGGGATTTCAAAAGCATGCACTGTGGTTAATAAGGTCAATGTTTGTTTTAACTTGCATGTCCTAGTCACTAACTGTCTAGGACTATTCATAACAATGAAACTGTTAATACACCAGCACATTAGATGAAGTTAACTCTTAGGTTCTCTTTTCCCCCAGAACTGCATTTAAAAGCTTCTTGTCAGCCCTGAACAGATTGTGCCAAAGACGATGTACATATACCAGAAATCATCACAGACCCTGAGATGGATTGCAGGGATGTTGAAAGACAGCAATGAAGGGTAAGAGGGATTATTCCTTCTCTTCATGGTATCTCCAGAGCCTAGGTAAGACTTCCAAGGAAAGGAAGATAGTGCTGTGCAGCTTTTGGACCTTGTTTCTGTCTCATCTAGTCAGTATCCAGTACAGTGTGAACCTGCTGAATACCACTATACCATGGGACAAAGCAACCAAAATGCTCTTGATTGAGGTGTTTCTGAGACTCCCACCATTGCTTCTGGATCAATGCCTCAGTATAGCAAACTGTCTCCTCAGCAAATCACATATTTCTAGTCCCAAAAGAGCAAATTGTGTGTTTCGGTATTGGTACAAATCAGATACGTACATTTAACTCACCTCAAATAATGGCTTGATCCAAGTGATACTCCCTGGAATAGATGACAATGTGGGCCTTCTGTTATTCTGTTCAGCAGGGTCCAGATTTCATGAAGAAAGTGTAGTCACATATCCTAACTGGGTCCTGAAATTTTAGATTTTCAACAATAAATATGAGAATATTTTACATGCTATCATCTGAGGAAAAAAAAACAAACACCGAGCAAACACTCTAGTTGTTTAAATAATTTATTGATAGTGTATATATTTTTATATAGTGCATTATAATACTGACTGCTATAATCTTTTATAAATGCTGAATTAACTATTTTTTTAAATTTTCACAACAAAAATAATCAAATATCATGCCAACATTTTGTAACAAATTATCACATTAAATCCATTTGGATTTCATGACACATTTATCTGTACAAAGGACCCCATATCACAGAGCATTCACAGTGCATAAGGTCACAGTCATTGAAAAAATAAATAACATGATAGATTTCTGTTATTTACAGTTTACAAACCCATCCCTTTCTGTTTTCAAAGAAACTTTAAATAATATTTAAAGAGGTATTGCACCTCCTAAGGGTGCACTGCAAATTCCTGCAAGTATGAAACACAGGGAATTTTAAAAGGTTCAGAAGTTATTTCAGCGATCATAAATGATTTTGAATATTTTCTTGCAATGGAGGAGACAGTGGGAGCCAAATCCTACCCTCAGTTAAACTGAACGAATTTGTGCCAACTACAAGGACATTAATGAGCACTGGCACCACTCCCAAGAACATGAAGGCAAGAATTTGGTCACAACTTTGCTGCAGAGTTCCAGCTATTTGAAATACAAATGCTGCTGGGGAAGCAGATTTACAAGTGTTCTTTGAACACAACTAGTATACGAATGAAGGCCATGATCTTGCTGCAAAAGACCTCTGAAATGAAGCATCTCGGTGTTAGTCCTTCTAGAGATTATACCTCTGATATTGATACATTCCAGTACCTTTAGACTTTTGTCACAATTCCATATTGCTGTAAATCAACCTCTATATTTGTTTTTCAAGTTTACTAAGATCATTTTGGTCATAAGATGGCAAAGATCACTTAAATTCTTTGTGCAAGTAAAAAGGAAAAATAAATGGAATTAAATTCAAACTGGTAATTCTTGTAAGAAAATATCCAAATGGCATTGGTTTCCCATAGTCATTAATTTCTTTCAGACAGTGCACTGTATGTCAGAAGTATGGTAGCAAGCGGAACAACATGATGTATAAATCACCACAATCACTACACATCTCAGCCTGTGGAGAAGGACCTCACATTTCAGAGCAAGGATTTCACAGCTTTCTTTGGGGAAAAAATATCAGGATCCCACACAGAGGGAAATGTGAGAAAAGTGTACGTTCAAGTTACTCAAAAGGAGGTTCTTAAACATGTACAAGGTAGGTCAGAAACTGGAATGCACATGTCAGTTGAACATTCTTCTCTTCAGCAGAACACTTATCACTTGCATACAGACTTTTCAAAAGAGGTCAAGGGAATAATAAAGGGTTTGGTACAGAACTGCTGGAACTAAATGTTGTCATTTACCATGCTGTCGTCATATAAATCTCACCATCCAGCAAAATAAAAACTCTGGAGTTCAGACTCAAAAAAATAGAAAACAAATTGTGCAGTAAATGCATGACCTGCAGAGATTAAACACAAATAACTGAGAGATATGAGGCTTTAAATGACAGAACATTATGCTCAAAGGTGATTCATTTTAATTAGGAAGATTCTTTGGTTTCACCTGGCTATCAGTGTTATTTTAGTGTCTGTTTCATATTATATTAGGGCTGATCCTTCCTTGGCATGAATAATCAGGCAGTATTTACACAGCTTAAAGCATTCTACCAAAACTATCTAACTGTAGGATGCAAATAAATTGTGTTATAATTACAAGAAATCCAAGAAAGGAACACAGAAAAACTCATGAGGAATTTGTGCAACTAGAGGAAACATAATAGAAACAAGTGTGTGTAATTAAAGCACAGTCACAAAGGAAATAAAAGACTAGGCTCTTCTCTATAATTGGTAAGGTGAAGACCTTTTCCATTTGTTTACATGTTGACAGAATGTTTACAAATATGATCTTAAACCATAAATTAATGTTTGTTACAGCTGCAGCAAGCATATAAAAATAAAATAAACTTGGCACACCAAGGACTGAGCCAGAGAAAGATGGCTGACTATGCTGTACCTGTTGGGAAGACTAAAGGTGGTCTTCCAGGCTAGACATCAGCCCAGAGAGCAGATTATGAAGTAGTCATTACGATAGTCATAACTGTAGCTTTTTCGATTTAGACATGTGGATCCTGAGACTGAAATCTTTACTCAGGCTATACTTTATAAAGCAGTACATTTGTTATGGGAAATGTGTGCAATCAAACACTGCTGAACTGAACAGAAACACTCCCGCTTGCTCACTACAGACAGGATTGCACCCTTGTGGGTCTACGTGGGACTTGGCTACTCCAGTGGAACTGCAGCAGAAGAGAGCTGCTAAAAGCTCTCCTTGGTTAGCTGTAATTCAGTTTTGATCCTGCTCCTACCCCTGGGCAGGTGGGCAGTTTTGAAGTCTTGAGATGAGGAACCAGCTCTCTTATTGACAAGAGTGGAAATCCAAAGTGGTACTGGCAGAGCAGAAGTTCACAGATTCTTTCAATTTCAGAAAAAAATAAAATCTTTAGACTACAAAACTAAGAAATATTTAAAGATTTAGATATGACAGAAAACCCAGAAACGCATGCTCCGCTGTTATTTTAGGGCACAATCCAGCAAGGCACTTAGATATATCTATGCTTAGCTTTAAGCATGGAATCAATCCGACTGAAGTTAAGCTTTGCTGGATATGGGATACCTTTTTCTGAGTTGTATTACTTTTCAGTGTTAGCATGATGGCAATTTCCAGATCACAGTGACAGTTTTCCCTCTCACATCCACCACCAGCTTTCTTTTCACTCTTGAGCTGAACATTAACTTACACAACATTATGACATACATTCCAAACTCAGCCAGCTGACTTTTGCAATGGTTAGCACAACAAAACGGCTACCAAATTTTACAGACACTATCTGAACAGCTGCATCACAGAACTGTACTAATTGCAGAGAGCCAAGTACAAATCGCTCCTTTTCTTGACTGGAAAATGGCAAAATTTGTAGTGGTTTCTCTTGAGCAAATTTTTTCTTGTATAGATGTGAAAGGCACTAGTCCGCTATTACTCAGCAACAGCCTCCTGAACTACTGGGTTTATCTGACATACAATTTGTCAATCAGCTCTTTCTTGGGCCATGCAGTTTATCTGCATGGGTTGGTCTACAACTGCCATCTTTATTTATTTTAGCATATGGATAATGACTACATAGGGACTCTTTAAACTACTTCATATGATTATGTATCATCAAGGCCTTTATACAGCATCTAATAATTCTTTGGCAAACAATACATCCCTGGTCATGCAGTGGTGTCAGGGGAAAAGCCAACTAATGTTAATTATAACATGGCATGATGCCTGTCTCATAGCAGAAGATGCATATGAGACCACCTCATGAAACGCAGCATTTGAACACAATATAAATTGTCTTGAAGTGGGTCTATGTTTTAGGGAGGGCTATAGATGACAGAAACAGCCATGTGATTTAAGGTCAGTATTACCTTCTGAGGCTGTTTCTTGTTACAACAGAATACACTGGTTTTCTAAAGCAGGTGATACTCAGCTTAGGCAGAATAATCCTAAATGTTGTCTAAAGGATTCATGGCATTAGTAAACACAATTTCATGGATATTTGGTCTGGGGATCAGCTCCTCCTGAACAAATTGGTGCCCATAGTCTTCTAAAGTTGCCTGGCTCAGAAACAGGAAGGTACAAGAGAGTTTTGCAGGTCTGGCACTGTAAACATCAATGCCATCATTACTGTAAATTCAGCTGATCCTTAGGCATTCAAACTAAATTTTGGGACTACCCTTCTGTTGTGTAAAGACATCTGAGCTGCCACTACTGTGCAGAGAGGAGCAAATGTTTGCTTGGAGATAGCTAGCTCTCCAAGCCCACTCAACAACAGAACATGGGAAAAAAGCATTTACTCAGCCTCTCTGCTCCTTTCAGCTTCATATCTAAACCATCATCAGATTTTTCAGCAGGCAACTGTCCTCCTGAAAGACAGCAGGGAAGAGAACAAGTATAGAGAGGGATGCAGTGGCACAGCAGTATGCTTCACCTTCACAGCCTTTCTGCAAAGGAAGACTCAAAGGTGAACATGAATTCCATCTCCTCAGCTTTACACTGCAGCAAAAATATGTCTTGAATGCCTGGAAATGGGGTCACTGTCATACTTGAGATCAAATGTGTTTACTGTCGTGCTTGCCTATTCAAGAAAACTACTTAACTAATGTGAAAACCCCTAAATGGATACTAATACTGATCTTTGTGACAAGGTGTAAAGCAAATAAATATGTTGCTCTTTTTCCTTTAGGATTACACTGAAAGGATCCAATTCATAAAAAAAAAAAATAAATAATTCAATAGCAGAATACACTCTTTAATTTGTACCAAAATAGTTTTAAAATAGCCTTAATTGTAAACACATTACGTGGTTTAAATGGTATTCTGCATGTTAAACATAATTATCTCTTATACATGTCAAAATAAGGAACTTTGAGAAAGTGCTTATTTGCTAAGATTTTACAGTATGTTCTCATTGACCCAATAATGGGATTTTATACATAATCTTAAGTGGAAAATATTAATGTATTTAAAAATGCATCAACAGTTAGTTGATAGATTTGTTTTGGTTTATAAACATTAAAAAATTAAAAATCTATGTATAAAGTTAACTGTGCTTCTTTAGAAACTTTTTGTGATAATTCACATACAGCTTTAAAATATTTTTGAAGTTTAGTAGCAATTTAAAATATGCTGTCTCAGTGCAATCATATAACTGCTACAATGTGGAATGTCACCCATCATTTTCAATACTCTGGGACATATCTTGCTGTCAATTATATCCAGAGTCATTCTTTAGATCAGATTTATGCTGGTGGCAAGGATATCTAAACCTGACTTCTACTGGGGGTTAAAAAGTGTATCATGCTTTAAAACTTGCATGCAATCAAAACAAAGACCGTATTCTCTTGACAGACTTGCTTTTGTGTGGGAGTTTCTCATCTGCACTGCACGGTGTCAGATGCTCATCTTCATTAAGCTTCTGGGAATAAGTGTAAAACGGAGAAGAATACACCAGCTTCTTGACTGACGAAATAAGCTTCTTCCACCGATCAAATTAAATCATAATCAGGGTGGGTTTTTTCTGACAGAAAGTCCGTATTATGTTCAGATAGTACACTGAGCTGATAACAATCACTGATAGTTATTGAGCACCCAATTTTATTTGTTTAGTTTCTTCTAAATTTACACAATGGGCTTACAAGGGCCAATGCAAAGTTCTTCTTGTGGTGTAATATTCCACAAATGTTCATTTACATTTATATACACAGCATTCCTCATTAATGGTGAAACCTATTTTTCAAGTATGAATTTCTGCATATAATTCTCTTCTTCAGTATGCAGATATTCTTTTAGTGTGCATCATCACAAGTGATACAACATAGAACCATTTCCTCTTCTTTCTCTGCCACGTTTTCAAGTTCATTGAAAAGAATGATAAATACTCAACACTGCCATCCAAAACCGTCAGTGCAGTTTCTCTACAAGCAGAGCACCTGAAGGGGGAAATGATGTCCTCAACAGTGCATGCCATGATATGTGCCTTGGACTTTCTAGTCCTGTAGTTGAGATATTTTAACTGAGCCAAGAAAAGTTCTAAATTTGCCTCTTATCCTTCCATGGAAAGTAAATGTCAAAACCAAAAGAAACATAAAGTTTTATTCTCCTGTCTTCCTGCTAACCATGGAGGTTAATTGCCTGCAAAAGGAGAATGAAAACCACAACAGAATGTCCCAGGAATGGATCATTCTAGAGTTCTGCATAAGATCCACACAGCTTTATAACTGAGCAGCAATATCCAAAAAGAAGGAAAATGCTTTGGTTGCCTTGAGCTAGCATGTTAAAAGAAAGGTATGCTTTCCTTCCACACAGGTAAAAGTGCTTGATAGCTGATGAAGCAGGAACGACACTCAAATTACTGATGGAAAGAAGGTAGAAAGGTGAAATGCCTCCTGTCATTTACAGCACATGTAATCAGAAGAACTTCAGTCTGTCTCCTCGTTGTAGTTTAAAGTTCTTCTCGGCACATAGGTAAGTTGACAAAAGTGAAGACATTAAACTCTATCAATATAGAGAAACAAAGGAAAACAGCATAAAGAAACAACACGTAGATGCCCAATTTCCTGTCAAGTTTCCACTTATTTACATGGATTCCAAGCACCTGCAAGCAAACAAAGTATTCGTTACTAAAGCCCCAAAGGAGACTTTGGAAACAACTGTTACAAGCTAAAAAATAGATTCTTCTGATTTGGATAAAAATATATTCTCTGTATTTTATAGAACAAAAGGCAACATACGTTTTTCTGATCAAGAAAAGTAATGTAAAAGCCCAAACTGAGAACTTGAACTCTGGTCTGACTCTCAGTTGCTCTAAATACTTTTACAAAATATTAAATGAACACACTTTAAGGCCCCTTCACAAGTTCTTTGTGTAACTGAGAAATAGACCCCTAGGTGCTCGGTTTCAGTCTGTAGTGCATTTTCAGCACACATGGCACATTCTAGTCAGGCAGCCCTTTCATTGATTCAGTATGAACAAGAATGCCCCAACCTACATGAACACCTCTCCCCACAGTGTTCCCCTGAAGATCCTTTATGTCCCAATAGTACACCAGCACCTAATGTTCACTCTCTCAAGAGCTTCAGAAGAGGTGCTTTCTTTGATGTCTTGCTGAGGTCTAGAACTAAGGGGAGTTACAAGTTACAGGTAGCAAAGCAACGAAGTCCTCGCGAAGGCATCTATTTTCAAGGGTGTTAAGTGCCTCTGAATTATCATTTGTTTTGCTCAAAACTCTCTACTGAGTTTTGCTGGGAGGGTCTGTGCGAATCAGGGCATCCAGCAGAACAAATGAGACAATAATAGATGCTTCAAACTCAGGTGATATGGCTTCTGCTATGAAAACTCTTTACAGAAAAGCATGAACAGCTAGCATAGCAACACATCTGCATAATCATTCCATTTTTTCCCAAGGTGCTGATTACCAATATGCATGCAGCATCAGCAGGTACAAATGTCTACAGAACATGTTTGTTGTTTCACAGGCACTGTACAGTATAGCAGAACTGGGGATATGAAAAGAACAGGCCCCCACAGCTTATGTATCAGATGCATTAGGAAGTTAGTGGCAGAGTGAACAGACCTCATCAGTCTATCATCTAAGTTGTGCACAGATGACGTGGAGTTTTGTAAGACCTAGTCATGCAACAGCGTGAAATCTCCAGTGATGATCCCCGTCTCTACAGAGCCTCTACAGAACCTCCACAGGCAATCAGTGAAAGACATTAGTATAAGTGGATATTTTTATACCTTTGGGATTTGATTCTTCCCACAGAAGGCTCCCTGGGAGTCAGCAGGATCAGACCTTAAGTACCAGCAAAATTGACTTTTGAAACAGAATTGTTGTTTCACTTTAACAAGTCATGTGTTACAAAGTAAGTGCCTTATGCTGAGTGACATTTAGCAGGCCTATTCTAAAATCCTATTCTGTGAAGCCCTAAGGTTCACAGTCCTCACAGCCTAGCCTTCATTAAGGGTTTTGGCTACAGCACATGATTAGTCCAGTCTGGTTTTGGAAATCAAAGGGCAAAGAGTAATGAAGCACACCTGGGTCTTGTCCCAGTATAAAGTAGAGACAGGCCTGAGGTATGCAGCTGGACACAGGAGCACAGAAGAATTATTGGATCCCAGAATTTCAACACTGACACTGAAATCAATGGGACCAACACCAAATGTCAGATTACACTGAGGACAATGGTACCTCTTCCACTCATGGTATTGCTAGAAGAATGATACTTCACATGAATCAATGCTTCAGGGATAATAACTATTTCAAATTTATCCTTCTATAACATGTAAATACCTAAGAAGTGTTTTGCAATTGGAATATTGGGGACAGTCAAATACTTACAGTAAGTGCCACTGATCCTAGCAAAAGTGCAACTGAATAGACCAGTCCTTTGCTGTTTATCTTAACCTGTGGGAAACAGAACAGACGTTTGAAAATGCTCAGCATATAACTGTGCTATGGAGATCAGAAATCTATACACTGATTTATGTATATATATATTTGATATATATACATATATATATGATTTATATATACTGATTTATGATCCACCTGTTTTGAATAGTGACACATTTGATATATATATCAATAGAGATATATATATATCACTATTTTGTGATATCAATATCACAATATTGATATATATATCAATACTGACTTAGACATTTGATATATATATGTATCATATATATATATGATTTTTATATATATATTGATTTATGATCCACCTTCTGTTTTGAATAGTGACTTAGACATTTTAAACTATGCAAATCCATAACAGATTTATCATAATGAAGAATGGGAAGATTAAGGAATCTAAACCAATGTATAAGTAAGCCCACCTCCATTAAAAAGAAAAAAAAATTAGCACTTATAAAAGATTTTATGTTAAAAGATCATCAGGAGAGAGATATATGCTGTTAATCTCATCTTACAGACAAAAATACTAAGGTACAGGGAGCCAGGAGTGCTTGAAGCTGTGTAGTGAAAAAATGATAAGAGCATGAACAGATATCCATGGTACTATTTTTCTGCTATATAGCATAATGTGCTCCAGTTGACAAACTGGGAATTAACTGCAGCTTGCTGAAGGAGAATTGCTTCCTTAACTCCTGCTTCCTCCTGCTCAGCAGGTGGTTGTTTGGCTGTAAGTTTTTTTTTGTAAATTTCATTTGCATACTCTCTTTTTAAACTTTTTTTTTAAGACATGAAAAGAACAAATTAAAGATTTGCCAAGTATACATACAGTTGATCCCCAATCAATAGCCATGGTCTGCAAACCCCATGGAACGCCAAGTCCCACCAGAATGTCAAAGACATTGCTCCCTACTGTGTTGGATACTGCCATGTCACCAAGGCCTGCAGAGAAAAAAACAACTGTGGTAAAAACAAAGTATAGGACCATTGCTCTGTGTACTAGAGGAAACTAAAGGGGAATTATCTGCATTGATTCAAGCCCCCTTGGACTGGCCAGAGTATGTGGGGTAGGGAGACAATTTCCATAATCTCTCTACAACTTCTGAAACAACTACAACTTCCTTATGTTTTGGATACCACACACCTAGTGAACCCGAGTTTAAAACCAATTAAAAAAACAAGTCTTGTTCTTGGTAGCCTGCAATCACAGGGAACCTGGAGATTATGTACTGGATTTAGTATGTGCATATGTGGCCTTTATCTCATGTGAATGATGCAAAGTGATCCTGAAAAGAACTCGAGCTATTAAGCACTTCTGTGGGGCTTAACCCGCAATGATTTCACCTCAGGAACATTAAAAGCTACGAGGGGGGGGGGGGAATAAATTAGTGAATAGTGGTCAAGTCTAGAGGCATTACTCAAAATTTACTCCCAATGTTCATCACTGGCTGCCATCTCATTCTGCACCAGCGTCAATGGATATGAGGAGGCCAGAATTCTTCTCTGCCCTTGTTAAATTCCCTTAGGCACAGAGTCAGATGCTATCACAGCAAGTACCGTATTCTCCTACAGGAAGCTGCTGACAGGAAGGTTATACTTTTGATCCATATTATGGTGTGCTCATCTCTAGTTTTGAGATATTTGTCTGCAATCTGTCAGCAAACATCTCTCTTGAACACAAGTAGTGCAAAGTCCCTGTGTTGTCTTAAAGAGAACATGGCTGCTTTTTGCCAAGGTAGTGCTTACTTTCACTTTCTGAGGAAAGAATCCCTACACTAGTTTTGCCTAATAATACAGAACAACTAATCTAAAGAATCAGTCTGTTCATTTAAAACTAACATTTTTTCTTCTATTCCTGCAAAAATATGTTCACTTTAATACTACATATGGAAAACTAATTTAGTAGGAAGGCGGTTCCATAAGAATACTTCTTTGTACTATTTTTTTTGTGAGATTTTAACCTGGAAAATTAAGTATTTAAAACATAGAATTCTTTTTAAATCAGGCAACATTTAATAGCACTACTCCTATCTCAAACTACAAAGGGGTGGCTTTGGGTACTCAATTTGTCACTTCAGAACCTTTCTTGTCTGCCCAATGCTGTGTGCTGGAAATCTCATTATCTGGGGAAAAAAAAAAAAAAAGACTGTGGAAATTGAAATAGTGGAAAAGAACACAGTTAGGCCCTTTCCTTATTCTACTGCAGTACAGGAGATCACACTGTCAGGTTTAATGTTTTTCTCAAGTAAAAAAGGATCTGCAAATAACCTTAATCAAAACTTAAGGATGCATGAGGAAGCCTTCAACAATTTCAATTGCAAAGCTGATGAGGATGTAGCTGACATTTAGATAAAACCATTTTCAACTACTTGTATGTTCCAATGTCAAAGAGGCTTGCAAATGGATGAGAAGCATCTCTGAAGCAACATCACTTCTGCCAGATCCTCTTAAACCAATTCACTTCCCTGAGTTTGAGAAGTCTTCTAGAAAGTTTTACACAGACAAGTGTAAGTCAGCATGTATTCTTCTATGTTGTTTTTAACAGCTGATATGCCTGCTTTGTCTACTATTTTTATCTTTTTACCCTGACTGATACACACCATGCATGGGCTATCTGAGTTTTGAACGACCTTCTAGAATGCTAGGGTGTACCTAGTCCCAGTAAGGAAAAGATAACAGGACAGAGATTATTCTTTTGGGTCACATTGAAGGCCAAAACACTTTGCTAATTATCAAGGCCCTGAAACAGTAAAAAATAATAAAATAGCATTGAGAAACTGTGTGTACAGAGGAAGCAAATCACAGAGCATGCACGTAAGATTACAGTTATGCTACAACAGACAGTACCTTGTCTTGCTACTATTAAGCTGGCCATACAGTCTGGGACGCTTGTTCCTGCAGCTAAGAAAGTAATGCCCATGATCACATCTGGTATCCCAAGGGTGTATCCAATAACAGTCACCTGAACAGTAAGGAAAAGAAATTAAACTATCGTATTTGGGCAGTATCCTCATTCCAATACAGTTGTGGCACAGTTTTTAACTTTGACTTCTGGTGTGGACCCTAACAGGATTAGACTCAGGATACTTCTCCACTTCTGCAAATTAAATAATTATGGGATAACCAGGAAAAGTACACTGAAAAGGAGAAGTATGCTGGGTCATATTGATTCAACATTTTACGAGCAAACAAAAAAGCTCCATTTTGTGTAATTTCTCAAAAGGACTTCAACCAATTTATCTTGTGATACAGGGGCAGGGATATAAAGAACTTATTTTATCCCAGAGCACAAAGAAGGAACCAGTTTCTTGCATGACTTCTGATACAATGCCGAAGTGAGCAAGTCTGGTTATATTGTTCCCTGAGAGTCCAGATGCAGCTTTAAAAGAGCTTAAGGAATAGCTGAAGCTTGTAGCAGAGCTCTTGGAAAGGACAGGGAACGGTATTTAGATGGAACGTCTCAAGAAGGCTGAAAAAGCATTAAGAAAAAAGGCAAAACAGGCAGCTGAAAAGGAAAGAGCCTTGTGAGAATGAGAAGACTGAATAAGGGACAGTCAGCTACTTCCCTGCTGAGACTGCTAAGAGTTGAACTCTTTAAGGCTCTGTTAGTTTGCCATTCTCTTACATGAGGAAAACTGAACCCTTCACCAAAAAAAAGGAGTATTTTAGGAATGTTCTCACAAATCTTATTCTCAAGAGCAAGTTGTAACTCTAAAACAGGAGCGGGCATGATTCCCCTGCTGCAAGTGGCAATGGGTATTGAGGTCTGGTTGCTACTTAAAATAAGCTATGCTGCAGCCTTCATGAGCATCTCTCTCATTTGTGAAGGGTATCTCTAAACTGGAGCCAAGGTAAAGAGCACGGCCCTGCAAATGATATATGGTATGAAAAAAATGTGTAGCTTTGGCACAATTATGCCAGGCAGAATGAGGGCTGGCATACAACTTTCTCTAACAGTCTATGTTAAGAGAAAAGAGGATTAATTTACAATGCAAAACTTACATGGAAAGTTGCAAAAAGCATATTGAAAACACAGTCTTCCATGAAAGGAAACATAAATATAAAGCAGTCTGCAAATGCCTGATGAAGGTAGAGATGCTCTCCACCCAAAAATGAATCTGCAGGTAAGAAGCTCAGGAACAAAAACTCTTCCATATTCATGACTAGAAGAGTAGGAGTGTGTGCATGCGTGTGTGTGTGTGTATATATACATGTGTGCGTGTGTGTATATATATATATGACTATGGGTGTATGTATAGGAAACTGCATTTTCTGATATGAAACCAGAGGAAGGTTTCTTTACTATATTTTCATTTGAAAGGAAAACGGGCATATAAATTCTTCAGCAGCACATCTGACCAATCTTCCAGTTATATGTATATATAACTTTGTTTTTCCATTTTTTAGTGTAGAAAATGGTAACTTCTTATATTTCAAAAGTGTATCTATTTTTTTTCCATCACAGAAACTATTTGAGGAGCTTTCCTATTCATGCCTCTTCTCTGAATGAAAATGGAAACCTGAGAAACTGAAAGAGGGTAAGGTAAACAAAAACCCCCAAACCAAACTTACTCATATCTTCAAGTAGGTGTGCTCCTGAACTGACAACAATTTACAGATCTACACCTGATACACCACCAAATTTCTAAAGAAGTCTCACGCTACTGAGAGTTAAACATTTTCATTTAAATTCTCTTTTACTAGTAGGATGTGGATATCCACATTCTCCTGAAAATCATGTTGGCACCTTTCTGTACTGTAATGGGCCAATTACTTTTGCAGAAAAGAGCAGCAGAAAACCAGAACTACAATAAGTCCAGTATGAGCTAAAGACACTGCACTACAATTACATGCCTTTCTTTTGAAATAAATACACAAAAAATCTACAACCTATTTCAAGATGCACATTTCACTCAGTATGGGAAGTCCTGCTGTATGCACTTACCATCCACACCATGAAGTATGAGAACACGGCGATCCAGAGAGTAGATAAGATGAATGTCACCATAAAACACCTCTCCCATCGTGGTTTGCTGCAGTTTGGAATGGTGCAAAAGAGCACGAATATCAACGGCCATGTCACAATCCATTTAACTTTGTTCATTTTTCCATCTGCAGGACAAAGAAAGAACTAGTTTAGCTTTCCCATCATTATCCCACACCCTTCTCTGAACACAGCAGATGATCCCAGAAGGATGTTTACAACTGTGCGTGTCAGCTCATTTTCCAGTATATTTTTCATCTGTACTTGGTCTTGTCACTCTCAGCCAAGCTCTGCATGCACATCCAGAATCTTACAGTTAAGCCTGCCAAAGTCTATGTAAATCCATGAAAGAATTACAGTGATTTAAAAGCATTAAAAAATTATTTAAAAGCACTGGATGATTTGAAACCCAAAATTTTTTGCTCTTTTAAATACCCATATTACTGTTAGTTCAACAACAACAACCTAACAAAACCCCCAAAACAACAATAAACCAAAACTTAACTCCCTCCCTGCCAAAGGCAACAAAGTCCCCCACCTCCCTCACCTGTTAAAAAGGAAGATAAAAATCTTATCATAAAAATAACCTGTATCTTCTGTGCAGCAACAGAAAACACTTTCACAGAAAACAGAAGCATAGACCCAGCCTATGAATACAACAAACTTGTTTTACATGCCTCACTGTGGTCACTTGTGCAGAACTTTAAACTGGTACTTAGGAGATCTATACTTGCTAAGTCTCTCCAATTGCATACAGCCCCACTTTGAGATGGTCTCTTATCCTCTATGAAAGGAAACGAAAGATATGACTTCCTTCATAAATCAACTGGTGAAAAATATCAGAGAACTGTCATTACTGAAGACAAGTACACGCCTCTCTTTAAAAAAAAAGAAAGTAAAGTATTGTAAATGTGCTGATAAATCTCAATACATAAAAGAGAACTATTTTATAATTGGGCCATAAATAAACAGTGCACTTACATTTAGATGTTTCATGAGGTATCCTGCAAGTAGGATAACAAATTTATCAGGCTAAACCAGCATATCACAGCCAACAGCATGGTGGTTTTTGCTTGGAGTTTTTTTATATTGTTTAAGAATTATGCTAGTAAGGATTTCCACTGATAATGATGTGCATGCAATTAATAAAATATGCCATTTTGAATAAAATGTTGATTGCATTGAAGAAAATTATCAGGTACATCTTCCAGTGAAGTTATTTAGCTAAAGGGCAGGTAATAATAAGTGACAGCTCCTACCAGTTTCAACAGGAATTTTCTTTCAGCACAGATATGGGATTTAGGATTTGGTTAGCAGAAGGCTTTGTCAGTGAATTTAATTTGATTGAAATCTGTCCTCTGAACCAGTGTGCACCAGATGCAAGGAAATAAAATATTAAACATTTAAAAATTAGTAATATTTTTGTGATTTATGAAGCTCCTTACTAGTCTAATATAAGTTGGTGAGTCTAAATGCAAGTCTTTATCATTCACTTCGGTACACTAGTACTAAATTGTCTTGCTTAAGCTATTTATCAGCTTCTTAACTTGAGATTTCCTTATGAACTATGAGATGCCATCAACTCGCCAGGAAATCTTAGCCTAAGTTTGGCTCTTTATTCCCATTTAGATTGTGGCTGTGGAACTTCTAACACATAAAACTACTGAAGTCTGGGTCAATTCTAATTCTAGGATTTGACATGTCACTGGGGATCTCTTACAGATTTTACAGGGAAGTCCTTTTATCCCTCTGGTTACATATACAGCTATATAGGCTCTTAAAACAGTTATCTTTTATATCTTCCGTCCAGAAAATAACATTTCTTAGTTCACATCTCACTTTAGTTCTGTCAACAGGGCCATAAATATCCTATGGTAATTTATACACCCTCCTGTTTAATTTGTTACAGTTTGGATCATTAAAAGACCCCTAGCTAGTTAATTTGTACTCTTTGTCTACCCAAGTTGTTAAGCTTGGTTCATAGTCAAACAAGTCAGCATGACCTAGGCTAGTAATTTCCTCAGCGTGCAATTCCAAATACAGGGTGGGTGCGTGACTGTTTGACAGGAAAAAAATATGGATCTGATTCTGATCTGATGAGGGTGTAATCTGACTTCAGTGCTGCTACAGATGGGAGATTCGATTCCATTTCTCTTTTCCATAACATGAATAAACATGCTGGGGAATATGTCTCTTGTCAGGCATCCTGTCTAGTGCCCTGAATTACTTAAACAAATGTTTAACTGTGAGAATTCACAGTGCCTCACCACTAGCATTGCTTGCTCATTTCCAGGAAAATCAAAGTATTAGTGGAGGAGGGCTTGTCTTTCCCTTACCTCTACTCAGTTTGAATGGATGTTGTCAGATTATAATTCCTGGCTTTGTTAGTGGTGATACTTCATACACACTACATCATGAGCTAGAACTGGTTTTTACAGCTAGATGGTTTGTGGAGTGACATTTTCATCTGCTACATGGCAGCCATGCTTGAGACTTCCGGTAACAACTGTAATTCTGGGGTTTGCTGGGTTAAGAGAGAAGCCACCTGACCAATGAAACCACATGAAATTAGCCAATGAACCACCATGGCCAAAACAGCCTGCTTGACACACTTTACATTGGCTTCTATTTTGTGTCAGGGTTTGCTAGCTTTTACAAACTAAATTTTAATAAAGCCTTAAGTACATCTGGCCTTAGTTCTGCCTCAGGCCATTTTCTCCAGCTCCCACTTGTGCAGCATTCAGTGCTAAAGAAGCCTACCCTTCTGCTGTACCTTGGTAGTTCTGTAAGAATTTAGTAAGTTTAGCAGCAACCTCAACAAAGCGAGGAAATAGATGACTTCATTCATTTCACCTGCCTTAGATGAACGAACAAACAATAGACAGCTTGAGAATTTTATTATATTTCTTTTTTTTGGTCTTTTGAAACTACTTGTGTTGCTGTTGTTTTGGTTTTGACCACCCACTCTAAAATAACCATTAAAATGATTCAGTGACAAATCCACTAAATTGGAATATGCTTTTAGCGCATGACAAATTATTTTATGATCATTGCTCAGCTCCCTAGTACATCTACAAGGAAGAAAATTATCATCCTCATTAAGACTATTATCCAATAAATAGCTGTTCTGCAAAAAAAACCCAGTCCCATTACAAGACCTTAGCTTAGTTGTTTTAATAGCAGTGTCAGCCACTCCTGTGAGCCCTGGGTCTGAAAGCTCCTGCAGCAAACCCACATAGCTGAGGAAAGGTGTATTTTATTTGTTGTACCCCCCATAGCAATAATGAAAGAACACTGCTTTATTACAGAAAGCAATGTGGGTCTATATTCTGTTCACCCTGCTATAAAACAGAAGGATGAGGGGTTTTGCACGAAATTGTTTTACTTTAGAAATCTACTTTTCTGTTTCTCCAGGTATTTGTTAGCCAAGCACGCCAAGCATTTCAAAGAGGTATCATTACAGTAAAGCCCAATTACAATATTTCTGAAAAGGAAGCAGCAGCAACAAAGAGCCCTTTGCTAATCTTCAATACATTTCTGGGCTTGTCATCTTTCCAGATGTTATGCTCACAATAATTACTTTCACCTACAAACAGTGTCCTGGTGAACGAAGTCAACAACACACACCAGGCCATGGAAAGGAAACAAATATTTCCTTAAGGCACCAAAGAAAGGAACTTTTACAGGAAAAACAATCACTGTCCTCCTTGCAACATTCACACAGAGTTGAGAGGAGCTCAGTATGAAACTAAATTTCTGTTTTCATTCAGATCAGAAGCATACCCTTGAAGTAAACCCGACTGTCCCCATTAATTGCATTTTGGTTTGTAATTTACTGTATTTCAGTATGCAAAATGGAGCAGCCTTGCTTGTATCACACCGATGAGATTTCCTTGGTATAAAACTGAACCAGAAGCACAAACTTAGAAGTGCTCCAAATAATGAGCATTTAGGCCATGGTGCCAAGCTAGTGCTAGTCTAAAACAGACCTTCCAAATGCATGGAGTGCATATACAGCCTACATGTCCTAGTCAGTAAGTGTCGTGGTTTAAGTGCAGTCAATAACCCATGCAGCCTGCTCCCTCACTCCCCCACTTTCTCCCCGCCCCCCCCCCCTCCCCCCCCAGCTCCCAGAGAATGTAACTCCCACGGGTTGAGACAAGAACAGCCCAGTAACTAAGGTATAACACAAACCACTACTGCTACCACCAATAATGATAAGGGAAATAACAAGAGAAAAGAATACAATACCACCCGTCGATACCCAGCCCGACCAAGCAGTGATCTAGCCTTTTCGGGTAACTCTCAGTTACACCCTGGGCATGACGTGCTGTGGTACAGAATTTGGCTAGTTTGGGTCAGGTGTCCTGTCTCTGCTTTCTCCCGGCTTCCCCTCCTCCCTGGCAGAGCATGAGACTCACAATGTCCTTGGGCAGACTAAAACATTTGAGCGGTAACTAAAAACATTGGTGTTGTCAGTGCTGTTTCCAGGCCAAAAGTCACAAAACACAGCACTGCACCAGCTACTAAGGAGGAGAAAAATGACTGCTACTGCTGAACCCAGGACACTAAGCTGCACAGAAAACACTTTGTGAGACTGCAACTATACTGGTCAGGAGTCAGACCTAAGTTACCATACTTAAATTTGACAGCTTTTCCATTTAGCTTTGCTTTTCCTACTTGACAGTCCCTTAAAGACAACCTCTCCACACATTAGCTACATCAGAACATGCCTAAATCTTCTCACATGAAAAAAAGCTTCTCCTTACATGAAACAATTAGTAGCTGACTGATCTAAAAAAACTAACGTTCCTGAAAAGCACAAATCTAATTAGCACACCAGGTTTTCATTACTGTACCATTATGAATTCATACAAATCTCTAAGTAACTTGAAAAATAGTAAAGTTTTTCTCTAATTTAAGTCCATTTGCAAAATGAGAAGGACTTGCTGGAGTTTACTATTGATTTCTATTTTTCTTGGATTTTTTTACTTTTGACAGTGGTAAACTTTGAAGAAAAATAAGGCCTATCCAGGCTGGCCTAGCAAGATCACTGCTACTGCAGATTTTTTTTGTGCTCTACCTTATAGTTTTTAATTCCCTTTTTTATATTTTTAGATCTCTCACC